AGCTCTGCACCCTCCGCTGCAACTTGCCCATGCACCCCCCGCTTCTCCTTCACACAAATCCAGACAGCTGATGTTCTGAAAGAGCTGCAAAATCTGGACCCCTACAAATCATCTGGGCTAGACAATCTGGACCCTTTCTTTCTAAAACTAGCCGCCGAAATTGTTGCAACCCCTATTACTAGCCTGTTCAACCTCTCTTTCGTAACGTCTGAGATCCCCAGAGATGGGAAAGCTGCCGCGGTCATCCCCCTCTTCAAAGGGGGTGACACTCTAGATCCAAACTGTTACAGACCCATATCCATCCTGCCCTGCCTTTCGAAAGTTTTTGAAAGCCAAGTTAACAAACAGATCACCGACCATTTCGAATCCCACCGTACCTTCTCCGCTATGCAATCCGGTTTCCGAGCTGGTCATGGGTGAACTTCAGCCACGCTCAAGGTCCTAAACGATATTATAACCGCGATCGATAATAGACAGTACTGTGCAGCCGTTTTCATTGACCTGGCCAAGGCTTTCGACTCTGTCAACCACCGCATTCTTATTGGCAGACTAAATAGCCTTGGTTTCTCAAATGACTGCCTCGCCTGGTTCACCAACTACTTCTCTGATAGAGTTCAATGTGTCAAATCGGAGGGCCTGTTGTCTGGACCTATGGCAGTCTCTATGGGGGTGCCACAGGGTTCAATTCTTGGGCCGACTCTTTTCTCTGTGTATATCAATGACGTCGCTCTTGCTGCTGGTGACTCTCAGATCCACCTCTACGCAGACGACACCATTTTGTATACATCTGGCCCTTCATTGGACACTGTGTTAACAAACCTCCAAACGAGCTTCAATGCCATACAACACTCCTTCAGTAGCCTCCAACTGCTCTTAAACACTAGTAAAACTAAATGCATGCTCTTCAACCGAACGCTGCTTGCACCCGCCCACCCGACTAGAATCACTACTCTCGACGGGTCTGACCTAGAGTATGTGGACAACTACAAATACCTAGGTGTCTGGTTAGACTGTAAACTCTCCTTCCAGACTCACATTAAGAATCTCCAATCCAAAGTTAAATCTAGAATCGGTTTCCTATTTCGCAACAAAGCCTCCTTCACTCATGCTGCCAAACATGCCCTCGTAAAACTGACTATCCTACCGATCCTTGACTTCGGCGATGTCATTTACAAAATAGCCTCCAACACTCTACTCAGCAAATTGGATGTAGTCTATCACAGTGCCATCCGTTTTGTCTCCAAAGCCCCATATACTACCCACCACTGTGACCTGTACGCTCTTGTTGGCTGGTCCTCACTACATATTCGTCGCCAAACCCACTGGCTCCAGGCCATCTATGAATCACTGCTAGGCAAATCCCCGCCTTATCTTAGCTCATTGGTCACCATAGCAACACCCACCCGTAGTATGCGCTCCAGCAGGTATATCTCACTGGTCATCCCCAAAGCCAACACCTCCTTTGGCCGCCATTCCTTCCAGTTCTCTGCTGCCAATGACTGGAACAAATTGCAAAAATCTCTGAAGCTGGAGACACTTATCTCCCTCACTAACTTTAAGCATCAGTTGTCAGAGCACCTTACCGATCACTGCACCTGTGCACAGCCCATCTGAAATTAGCCCGCCCAACTACCTCATCCCTATATTGTTATTTTTTTTGCTCATTTGTACCCCAGTATCTCTATTTGCACATCATCTCTTGCACATCTATCATTCCAGTGTTAATACTAATTGTAATTATTTTGCACTATAGCCTATTTATTGCCTTACCTCCATAACTTGCTACATTTGCACACACTGTATATATATTTATTTTTGTTGTATTTTTGACTTTGTTATGTTTTACCCCATATGTAACTCTGTGTTGTTGTTTTTATCGCACTGCTTTGCTTTATCTTGGCCAGGTCGCAGTTGTAAATGAGAACTTGTTCTCAACTGGCTTACCTGGTTAAATAAAGGTGAAATAAAAAAAATAAAAATAAAAATCTGCCCGGTACAGTTGAAACTGGGATTGATCCGTGAAGAGCACACTTTCCAGCGTGCCAGTGGCCATCGAAGGTGAGCATTTGCCCATTGAAGTCGGTTACGATGCCGAACTGCAGTCAGGTCAAGACCCTGGTGAGGACGACGAGCACGCATATGAGCTTCCCTGAGACCGTTTCTGACAGTTTGTGCAGAAATAATTTGGTTGTACAAACCCACAATTTCATCAGGTGTTTGGTTGGCTAGTCTCAGACGATCCCGCAGGTGAAGAATCCGGATGTGGAGGTCCTGGGCTGGCTTGGTTACACGTGGTCCGCGGTTGTGAGGCCGGTTGGACGTACTAAAACGACGTTGGAGGCGGCTTATCGTAGAGAAATTATCATTCAATTCTCTGGCAACCGCTTTGTTGGACATTCCTGCAGTCAGCATGCCAATTGCACTCTCCCTCAAGACTTGTGACATCTGTGGCATTGTGTTGTGTGACAAAACTGCACGTTTTATGGTGGCCTTTTATTATTTCCAGCACAAGGTGCACCTGTGTAATGATCATGCTGTTTAATCAGCTTCTTGATATGCCACACCTGTCAGGTGTATGGAGTATCTTGTCACAGGAGAAATGCTCACTAACAGGGATGTAAACACATTTGTGCACAAAATATGAGTTAAATAAGCTTTTTGTGCTTATGGAAAAATTCTGTGATCTTTTATTTTAGCTCAAGAAACATGGGACCAACACTTTACATGTTGCGTTTATGTTTTTGTTCAGTATAGAATCTTAACTATAAAGGCAAAAAATAGGAACAATTGTTAAACTGTATACTGGTGCTCAACTTCCTTTGATGGCTTTATCTAATTTAGGTGTCCTATCGTTTCTTGAATCCACATTTCAAATGCGTGAGAGGTGACAATTCTTCAGCTTTGAGTTTTTTGTTTTCCTGTTTATCTGTGCCAAAGCATCACTATAGCAGTTTTGTCAGCAAGGCGGCATAAAGGAAGACTGTTTTTGTTTTGTTCTTTTCTAGATTTGAAGGAATTGCTGATGTTGAAAGTGACACACATACTGAAGCTGCAGATACAGTGTGTGTATGTGTGTGTGTGTGTTTGTATGTGTGTGTGTGTGGGTGTGTGTGTGTGTGTGTACTGTTGACAAACCGTCTCAGTAAACTCTACGGTGCATTAGTGGTTATTCTCTGATTTATGGGTTTTTGCCTCCATGATGTCTGTTGTTTTGTTTTTTATCTCTTATGCAGCACCTTACGAGAACAACCGTATCCTCAGCTTGGAAAATGACCACATATCTTCATACTTCTGGTATTTTCTATCTGCTAGCTTCCACTGCTGTTTCATATTGAAGGAATGAACAGAACTTGAACAGATCTTGTAACAGATTATGAGCAGTATTTGTTATACTGTTGGCCAATGCCTGGTTTCTTTTGAGAATAGCTGTGATATATTGATATCATGTGTCTTCCTTTAACCAGTCTGTTAATGTGAGCCAACGGTAGTAGAGTAAGCAGGCACTAGGCAGTAGAGCTTTTTAATAAAGAACAGATCAGAGGAACTCCTCTTGACCCTCCCTGTCCTCAAGACGAGTGCGAAACATAGGCCTACAGTACACCTGCCTACGTGTTATCCACCATATCCTCTTTTACCCTCTTTTCACACTTTATCAGCAAATCATGCTAGCAGGCCACAGCTGACTTATGCCTGACGAAATGTATTGAAAACCAATCGACATGACAGTGTGATATGGTATAGGCTGTGGTTACGATATAGAATAACCATTACTGCTTTGTTCAAGTAGGATACCCCAGAATTTACTACTAACAAATGTAAAAAGGTAAACAATTCAAGGTTTTGGATCTGTATTTAGAGGTAAACAAATAGTCAGTCACCAATTTTTAGTTTGTTTCTTGGCCATTTACCACAAACTCGTTGACCCTTTTTAATCAGACTGTTGAAGATTTACCTGAAGCGGTCAATCATGTTGGTTCTTTTTCGCACAGTGTACCATAAAGCTGTCCAAACTTAGGTTGGATTTCAGTAATCTTTTTTAGTCATTTTAGTCATCTGTTCAGCATAGCTCTTTGAAAGATCTCACTCACATTTTATAATGATAGTGTCATACTGGTAATGCAGCTGCGCCCCTGTAATGTTAATGCAGTACTACAGACTGTATGGTTTGGTTACTGTCAGTGTCTGAGCAATATGTGTAAAATGAATGTGTAAAATATACATGTAGATATAAGGATAGTTTCGATTATAGTTCTGAGTTTATAGAATTCAGTACAACCAGAATCCTAACTATAAGGGCAAAACATAGTAAAAATAGTAACATCTAGGTGCCATGTAATCTCTTGGATCCTGACACAAATTCAACAAAGCACTACATTTCAAATGCGTGAGAGGTGACAATTCTTCAGCTTTGAGCCTTTTGTTTTCCTGTTTATCTGTGCCACAGCATCACTATAGCAGTTTTGTCAGCAAGGCGGCATAAAGGAAGACTGTTTTTGTTTTGTTCTTTTCTAGATTTGAAGGAATTGCTGATGTTGAAAGTGACACACATACTGAAGCTGCAGATACAGTGTTTGTGTGTGTGTGTGTACAGTTGACAAACTGTCTTGAGCGATCCTTACTGTCTCCCAAGGTTGAACCTGGTGGTATATGATGAATGATTGAGTGATTGATTGAGTAGTTACACTTTATTAATCCCCACAAAGAAATGTGTTTGTCATCAAGGCAAGATATAAAATCTATAAGAAGATACACTCTTAGAAAATGTTTTGGTTCTCCCACCTTTTGAAGAACCCCTTCCATAGAGTGTTCTACATGGAACCCAAAAGGGTTCTACAAGGAACCCAAAAGGGTTCTCCTATGGGGACAGTCAAATAAACTTTTTTGTAAGAGTGTACTACACACACACATATATATATTATGTACATAAAGAGGGTTTAAAATGGGTCAAGGTAAGAATATTCATGAACTCATGCACTGTCCTTGGTGGTTAGGATGGACAGTTTGAGCCTTTCCTCTTGCTCCTCCTTCGCCTCCTGTTGCTTCTTCTCCCGTGCTTCTCCCTCCACATGGTACCCCACCATCAGCTGGTACACAATCACCCCCACCACCGCACCAATGAAGGGGGCAAAGATGGGCACAAAGAACCAGTAGGCATTAGCCCTGTGGGAGACCAAGACAGAGACAAGGTTGTATGTCTATGGAGATTAAATAGTGAAAGCAGAGCTATTATCTTTAATGACGTGTGGTTAGATAGAATGTCTCATAACACATGCATTAAGGCATTATTAGAAAGAAAGAAAGAAAATTGAAAAAAATACAGAAAAATTAAAACGGGAGAAGAATCCAAAAGAGACTCACGTGAATACCTCACCACCCCAGCCAGCTAGGGCAGTAAAGATGCGTGGGCCCAGGTCCCTGGCAGGGTTGACAGCGTAGCCCGAGTTGAAGCCCATTGACAGGCCTATGACCAGCACCACGAACCCCACCGTGAAGGCCTCCAGGCTCCGGGGGATGGGGTTATTGTAGGGGTCCACGATGGCCAGGATACACACGATCAGAGCTGCTGTGCCTATCATCTGTAACACAGCCAGGCTCAGTTTTACATGGTTGTTGCAGGCATGTTGTCATGTACTACGGTTTCCATACAGGATAATATTCCATATAACTACTTGTGATTCTGAGGCTGTCCTAATACGGAATACTAATATACTATAGTATACTAATAGTGTGAATGTACCTGGTCAAAGAATCCATTAACCAGAGTGAGATGTTTGGAGGGATATGTGGCAAAGATCCCAGCAGTGGCATTCTCACCCACAACGATCAGTGTTCCATGGCCATAGTCCCACAATGCATCTGGAGAAACCATGGCAACATGTAAGAGATCACAATGTGTGTGGTATCATCTACAGTAGCTGTAGAACCTTGAAACTCCCTTTGGGAGAAAATAACAGTTATTTTCAGTCTGTCTAAACTTTGACAGTCTTGAGAATGTTTTCGGTGGAATATGGCCACTGGAAAAACTTGTTGTTGTTGTTGTTGTTGTTGTTGCTGCTGCTGTTTGGACATTTCTGATAATATAAATTATCTGAATCCCACTAACCAAAATACATGCCAAATATGATCCCAGCTCCCAGGAAGGCCCCTATAGTCTGGAACAAGAAAAACACAGGGAATTTCCTCCAAGGTTCTCTCCCCAATAGACAGAGGGCGAAGGTCACCGTTGGGTTCAGGTGGCCTCCTGTGACAAAGAACAATTTGGAAAATGGTGAATGGCCATTTCTCAATTTCATTCTATTCTATTCCATTTTCTCTGTGTAGAAAACACCCAAGACCATCTCTCTTAAAATCAAGTCTCTGAGTGAGAGAGAAAACAACCAGACCCTATCAAGACCAAAGATGATTCTCTTCAAATCTTTTCTTGGAGGGAAAAAAGGGACCTGAGACTATCTGCCGTAATAGTAGGTAGAATGCCTCTTAGGACGGGATGTCTCAGTGACACAGTAAATTGGAGAGATTCATTTTATTTTTAAGGCTGCCATGTGTATTAGAGGGCAACAGCCTTATTATAGAGGCATTGAAAATGTGGGCACAAGTGAACTGCGGAAATCTCTGTGCCTTTGCTTTGAAAGATGAATCCTTGTATAGTGAATCAAGTAATAACGCATTTTGCGATTTCACACTTTCCTTTCAATCATGGACCCAATGGCTTTAAAATTCAAGGGGCAAGCCAGCATCATTCTTCTTGTCTCTGTGAGCTTCTCTGATGTCTACTGTTTGCTTACTGCTCTCTCTCTCGCTCTCTCACCCTTTCTCTCTCACCCCCCCCCTCTCTCTCTCTCTCTCTCTCTCTTTCTCTCTCTCTCTCTCTCTTTCCTTGTCTCTGACTGTCTTACCTCAAAGAAAACACATCTGCAAGGGTAAATATTGCACTTTAGATTAGTGTCAGTTTACCTTAGGTAGAATGTGTCTGTCACAACAGGCAACTGATACTCCCAATAGACTCGCTACTGTCAGACAGTAATGTCTGGAGTAATGAAACCTTCTTGTCCTGACCTTGATTTCAGAGGAAGTAAGAGTAATAATGCACCCCCCTCACCTGAGATCTGTCCGCTGACCAGGATGCCCAGTGTGGCAGCGAAGCCAAAGGCAAAGTTGACGGTGAGGAACATTCCATGGGAGCCACCACTCAGCACCAGCTGGGCCACCGCACCACAGCCAAACATCTAAGGAGAAGGGAGAGAGACAGGTTAGAGGAGAAACACTGTGCATGGGTAACCAAACCCATGTGAACATTGCAGTGTTGTTGTGTTATGTTTTGTTGAATACATGTTTAAACATTATACATATCCCCTGTATACACTATAAATAAGGGTCATCATCACCATCAACATAATCAACAAGTTTACTTTGGCATGCATATCCTGTACCAGTCCAGTCTGTTTCTGCTGTAGTCAACTTGTCGGGCCAAAATAGTTTTTCAATCAACTTTTGCCTGAGCGCTATGTGCACTCAGGATCCAAAAAATGCCTGTGGTCGAGCGGTGGTCTAGTACCATCTCAAATATGTTTCTTGGACTCTGTATGGCCCTCAGACAGACAGACAGTAGAAAATAGGTCACCCAAGACGATCAATGCCTTTAACAGCTTGACCTGAGTATCACCCCGCTTGCTGTGCCATGCATGTGACCATTTAGCCTACTGATCTTGACTGAGGTGTAGCTTCCATTAACCCGAGAGGCCATGTGTGTGTTGATATGGGTGGGCTACGGAGCCCAGGGGTCCTGGTGGTGGCCGGGCCGATCATATTTTCAACAAAGCAGCATGGTGGATCATACAGAAACATACAGTGCATTCGGAAAGTATTCAGATCCCTTGACGTTTTCCAAATTTTTTAACGTTACAGCCTTAAATGGATTCAATTGTTTTTTTTAAACCCTAATCAATCTAGACACAATACCCCATAATGGCAAAGCAAAAACAGATTTTTATACATTTTTGCAAATGTATAAAAAAACAACAACTGAAATATCACATTTACATAAGTATTCAGACCCTTTTCTCAGTACTTTGTTGAAGCACCTTTGGCAGTGATTACAGCCTCAAGTCTTCTTGGGTATGATGCTACAAGTTTGGCACACCTGTATGTGGGGAGTTTCTCCCATTCTTCTCTGCAGATCCTCTCAAGCTCTGTCAGGTTGGATGGGGAGCGTCGCTGCACAGCTATTTTCAGGTCTCTCCAGAGAAGTCCGGGGTCTGGCTGGGCCACTCAAGGACATTCAGAGACTTGTCCCAAAGCCACTCCTGCGTTGTCTTGGCTGTGTGCTTAGGGTCGTTGTCCTGTTGGAAGGTGAACCTTCACCCCAGTCTGAGGTCCTGAGCGCTCTTGAGCAGGTTTTCATCAAGGATCTCTCTGTATGTTGCGCCGTTCATCTTTCCCTCGATCCTGACTAGTCTCCCAGTCCCTGCTGCTGAAAAACATCCCCACAGCATGATGCTGCCACCACCATGCTTCACCATAGGGATGGTGCCAGGTTTCCTCCAGACGTTACGCTTGGCATTCAGGCCAAATAGTTGAATCTTGGTTTCATCAGACCAGAGAATCTTGTTTCTCATGGTCTGAGAGTCCTTTGGGTGCCTTTTGGCAAACTCCAAGCGGACTGTCATGTGCCTTTTACTGAGGAGTGGCCTCCATCTGGCCACTCTACAATAAAGGCCTGATTGGTGGAATGCTGCAGAGATGCTTGTCCTTCTGGAAGGTTTTCCCATCTCCACAGAGGAACTCTGGAGCTCTGTCAGAGTGACCATCGGGTTCTTGGTCACCTTCCTGACCAAGGCCCTTCTCCCCCGATTGCTCAGTTTGGCCGGGCGGCCAGCTCTAGTAAGAGTCTTGGTGGTTCCAAACTTCTTCCATTTAAGAATGATGGAGGCCATTGTGCTCTTGGGGACCTTCAATGCTGCAGAAATGTTTTGGTACCCTTCCCCAGATCTGTGTCTCGACACAATCCTGTCTCGGAGCTCTATGGACAATTCCTTGAACTTCATGGCTTTGTTTTTGCTCTGACATGCACTGTCAACTGTGGGACCTTATATAGACATCTGTGTGCCTTTCCAAATCATGTCCAATCAATTGAATTTACCACAGGTGGACTCCAATCAAGTTGTAGAAACATCTCAAGGATGATCAATGGAAATAGGATGCATCTGAGCTCAATTTCGAGTCTCATAGCAAAGGCTCTGAATACTTATGTAAATAACTTTCTAAAACCTGTTTTCGCTTTGGCATTATGGGGTATTGTGTGTAGATTGATGAGGAAACAAATTAATTTAATCCATTTTAGAACAAGATTGTGACGTAACAAAATGTGGAAAAAGTCAAGGGATCTGAATACTTTCTGAATGTATGCCGAGTTTCCTTGGGAAGATATCATCTTTCTATATGCATTTGATCAACGGTGTGCTGTGGTGGGTGGGTGCCTATTGACGATCCTATCTATATAATCTACTTGTGGAGCCTTCTTTAGAGCAGAGAAGACCTGCCTTCAGGCAGTCAGGGCCTGGGGAGTTCTGTTTGCCAGGGAGGCATAAGGCTTCACTCAGTAGTGTGGCCAAACAGTGGATCAGACATCAGTTAGACCTCTCACGCTGCAGGCTAGGAAAATACCAGATGGCAAAACCACCCCCTCTCAGTTTGTATCTTCTCTCCAGCTACTGTTATTGTTCTGTGTGAGGGTTAACATTGGAAACAGCTGACCCCAGGTAGCTGTTTTATTTGGATTTAGCGGAATACCAACGGGGATGCCAGGGCCTTACCTACGTGGACGAGTTGGTTCCATGACAATACTTTTTCACCTTAGAGGGCAAGGCTAGGTTTTGAGTTTTTCCTAAAGCAGGTATTCAGGAGAATATGGTCATTAATGAATTATAGATCGTTTAACAGTTTAATGAATTTGTATATTTTACAGAAAGATGAAGTTAATTATTGTAAATATGGAATGTAATATCTAAAAGGAAGCATGAATAATTATGTGATAATCTCTCTTTCCCTCAGAATAAATTACCTTGCTATACGGAAAACAATTTAAAGTTTGTTAAATGTATCAATTTAAAGTAAAGGATGTTTATTTTTAGTGTATGTTTTTCATGTAGAAGACTTGAGAGGTTAATTAAAATGTGATAATAAAATAATATTGATAAGCTGATAATATAATTCACAGTGTCAGTTCTGCTTGTATTGCCACTGCGAACAATGTGGGAAGAGCTATCCTTTTACATTCACAAGCTCAAAGCATTGCTTTAAACAGCACATTTACATTAAGATGAAATTTCACAAAAGTGAAATTAATGTGAAATTAATTAGAAAACAAGCAATTAAGTCGTTAGAGGATATTAGATACTTAATTAACAATCGCTTTGCTTAATTACATGCTTCATCCATATTTTTGAAGACATTATTTTCATACCCACAAGCTGTCAATCAACTCCTACTTGTTGGATAGATAATGATAGTAAGGTACTGTGTTTCCAATTCACATTCACCCACTCACTTTAACAGGGTTTTACATACATAGGTAATACTATTGTAGTAATGAAGAACAGTCCCCACTCACCACCAGTATGAGGGTTCCCAGGCACTCTGCCAGAGCCTGGCGTAGCAGCATGTGACGGATCTGAAAGGTCCTTGCGAGCTTGTCCATAAGTGCCTTCTGTTTTCCCATGATGCAGCTGTGGGTCGTCCAGTGACAACAGGGTTGGTTGTGGAGGAGCGGGGCTGACTAGGAATGTGTGTCAAGGAGGGCCGTGTGTCAACTCTATAAGCACTCAGAGAGGGATCCCTCCCTCGTTGAGAAAAGAAACGAAAACATGTCTCTCCTGGATTCTGAACGCCTCCCTCCACATCTCCACCCATTTATTTTTTTTTTTTATTTTTTTTTCTCGGTAAGTCCCCTTTTTTCTACTTTTTCCTCCCCTGTTTTCTTTACCTTTTCCTCACTTTAATTCAGATGGATTAGTACTACAACTACTACTACTTGGTGTTTTGAAACTTGGTCAAACTTGTCACCTCCTTGTATGCAGCCAAAACTACAGCCTCTACAAAGAGGTCTGAACCTTCACGTCACAGCAGGTAGTTTGATAGTGTAACTGGTTCAAGCTATAATCCATGTGTTCCCCCTTAATCACTAAAATAGTTTTACGCAGGGTACTTAAATTCCCCTATTTAGCAGATGTTATTGTGGGTGTAGCGAAATGTTCCAAGCTCCAACAGTGCAGTGATATCTAACAATACACAACAATACACACAAATCTAAAATAACAAATAATGGAATTTAGATATTGGCGGGAACTGGAACATGCTGTTGTACACGTCGATCCAGGGCATTCCAAACATGCTCAATGGGTGACATGTCTGGTAAGTATCCAGGCCATGGAAGGACTGGGACATTTTCAGCCTCCAGGAATTGTGTATAGATCCTTGCGACATGGGGCCGTGCTTTATCATGCTGAAACATGAGGTGATGGCAGTTGATGAATGGTACGACAATGGGCCTCAGGATCTCGTCACGGTATCTCTGTGCATTGAAATTGCCATTGATCAAATGCAATTGTGTTCGTTGTCCGTAGTTTATGCCTGTCTGCCTGCCCATACCATAACCCCACTACTACCATGGGGCACTCTGTTCACAACGTTAACATCAGCAAACTACTCACCCACACGACACCATACACTTGGTCTGTGATTGTGAGGCCGGTTGGACGTACTGCGAAATTCTCTAAAACGACGTTGGAAGCGGCTTATGGTAGAGAAATTAACATTCAATTATCTGGCAACAGCTCTGGTGGACATTCCTGCAGTCAGCATGCCAATTGCTTACTCCCTCAAAACTTGAGACATCTGTGGCATTGTGTTGTGTGACAAAACTGCACATTTTAGAGTGGCATTTATTGTCCCCAGCACACCTGTGTAATGATCATGCTGCTTAATAATCTTCTTGATATGCCACATCTGTCAGGTGGATGGATTATCTTGGCAAGGGAGCATTGCGCAATAACAGGGAATTAAACAAATTTGTGTAACAAAATTCGAGAGAAATAACCGTTTTGTGCGTATGGAACATTTCTGGGATCTTTTATTTCAGCTCATGAAACATGGGACCAACACTTTACATGTTGCGCCTATATTTTTGTTCAGTGTATGTGATGGGATGTATAGACATTACGGACAGTATGTGGATACAATATGTAGTATATCTGTAGAATACAGCAATAGTTTAATAGAATTGCCTTGACTAGAATACAGTATAATACATAATAGAATGAGTAAAACAGTATATAAACATTATTAAAGTGACCAGTGTTCTATGTCTATGTACATAGGGCAGCAGCCCCGAGCCGACTAGGTAAAACATCTGTCGATGTATTCTTGAGCAAGGCACTTAACCCTAATTGTTCCTGTAAGTCGCTCTGGATAAGAGCGTCTAACAAATGTCATATTGGAGTCACTTTTATTGAAAATAAGAATAGAAAATGTTTCTGAACACTTCTATATTAATGTGGATGCTACCATGATTATGGATTATTATGAATGAATCGTGAAGAATGATAAGTGAGCCTCTGTACAGAGGCACAAAATATCATACAGGTGTAAGAACTTAATTTGACCAGTACTGTCATAGCAAAATAATCCTGCAGCAACAGGATTTTAACATTAATCCATAATGTTGCTTGATCGGTGGTTAGGCTATTAGCTGGCCAAAATTAGGCTGCAATAATATCTTATCTATTAACTTAGAAAGAAAATCACCCCACTCATCATTCACCATTCAGTTCTTTTGGGGAAAACAAAACAAAAACAAACAAAAAATGCAAATGCATCCAACGAGTTTCTAGAATCACAAGTTTGATATAGTCATTGCATGCTAGGAATATGGGACCAAATACTTTAATACACTATAACTGAATTTGCCCAAATACTTATGACTTATTGAAATGGGGGGACCAGATACGTAATTTGCTTTAATTTCTAAACGGTAAAACAGAAATATATGAAAATACCCTTGAATAAAAGGTGACATTCTGTACTGTCGCCTCACATGAAACTCATATCCAAAATTCTAGAGTAAATGTTAGCTTCACTGTCTAAATACATATGGAGGGGAGTGTATATTGTACAATTACCATACACAATAGCATTACTGATTTGGAAATTATATCACTTAAACGGCTTGGCAAAAAAACAATATTAAAAACAGCTGAATTCTCCCAACAACACAGAAAGGGCCCTGGGTGCATTTTTTTTATCCGTTCAATCTAATTTGAGATTTTTCTGGCTACAATAATTATCAGTTTAGCTTAAACCAATTCTCCACAACTCAGGGAAATGCTATATTGGAGTCAAATCAGACCACATTCTGGGATTTGACAGTTTGGCTGGGAATGGAACAGTACCAGAGGGTCTGGTCAGAGTTATTACTCTGTGCTCTGTATGTGGTCGACTGGACCATTCTCTAACTCCTCAGGGTTAACAAAGTGGCTCTTTAACACCATACTAGGGCCAGGAGTTTTTCGTGACCATGTGACTTGACTAGAAATAACTCTGGGCGAAAGTTATGAGGCTTTAAGCATATATAGTTGAAGTCTGAGGTTTGCATACACTTAGGTTGGAGTCATTAAAACTCGTTTTTCAACCACTCCACACATTTCTTGTTAACAAACTATAGTTTTGGCAAGTTGGTTAGGACATCTACTTTGTGCATGACACAAGTCATTTTTCCAACAATTGTTTACCGACAGATTATTTCACTTATAATTCACTGTATCACAATTCCAGTGGGTCAGAAGTTTACATACACTAAGTTGACCGTGCCTTTAAACAGCTTGGAAAATTCCAGAAAATGGTCATGGCTTTAGGCCATCTGGCCCCAGGCTTATTGACATCATTTGAGTCAATTGAAGGTGTACCTGTGGATGTATTTCAAGGCCTACCTTCAAACTCAGAGCCTCTTTGCTTGACATCATGGGATAATCAAAATAAATCAGCCAAGACCTCAGAAAAAAGATTGTAGACCTCCACAAGTCTGGTTCATCCTTGGGGGCAATTTCCAAATGCCTGAAGGTACCACGTTCATCTGTACAAACAATAGTACGCAAGTATAAACACCATGGGACCATGCATCCGTCTTACTGCTCAGGAAGGAGACGCGTTCTGTCACCTAGAGATAAACGTACTTTGGTGCGAAAAGTGCAAATAAATCCCAGAACAACAGCAAAGGACCTTGTGAAGATGCTGGAGAAACAGGTACAAAATTATCTATATCCACAGTAAAACGAGTCCTATATCGACATAACCTGAAAGGCCGCTCAGCAAGGAAGAAGCCACTGCTCCAAAACCGCCATAAAAAAGCCAGACTACGGTTTGCAACTGCACATGGGGACAAAGATCATACTTTTGGGAGAAATGTCCTCTGGTCTGATGAAACAAAAATAGAACTGTTTGGCCATAATGACCATCGTTATGTTTGGAGGAAAAAGGGGAAGGCTGCAGGCCAAAGAACACCATCCCAACAGGGGAAGCACAGGGGTGGCAGCATCATGCTGTGGGGGTGCTTTGCTGCAGGAGGGACTGGTGCACTTCACAAAATAGATGGCATCAAAAGGAAGTATAATTATGTGGATATATTGAAGCAACATCTCAAGACATCAGTCAGGAAGTTAAAGCTTGGTCGCAAATAGGTCTTCCAAATGGACAATGACCCCAAGCATCCTTCCAAAGTTGTGGCAAAATGGCTTAAGGACAACAAAGTCAAGGTATTGGAGTGGCCATCACAAAGCCCTGACCTCAATCCTATAGAAAATTTGTGGGCAGTACTGAAAAAGCGTGTGCGAGCAAGGAGGCCTACAAACCTGACTCAGTTACACCAGCTCTGTCAGGAGGAATGGGCCAAAATTCATCCAACTTATTGTGGGAAGCTTGTGGAAGGCTACCCAAAAATTTAAAGGCAATGCTACCAAATACTAATTGAGTGTATGTAAACTTCTGACCCACTGGGAATGTGATGAAATAAATAAAAGCTGAAATAAATCATTCTCTCTACTATTATTCTGACATTTCACATTCTTAAAATAAAGTGGTGATCCTAACTGACCGAAGACAGGGAATTGTTACAAGGATTAAATGTCAGGAATTGTGAAAAACTGAGTTTAAATGTATTTGGCTAAGGTGTATGTAAACTTCTGCCTTCAACTTTAACTAGGGCCCAGAGTCTTTCCTTTCAGATTGTATGGTTAGTGAAACTCATGCCCCTAACCATTCTCCATGTCTGGCTTATTGTGTTGTAGCTATACAGTAGGATATACAGTGGGATCTAATTCTGAGAGAACAGGTTGTAACTGATATCCTGAGGCTATGTCTCTGTCCTGGAATCAGAGGAGACCTACTTTTGTCACCTCCACTAAAGGACCACAAAAGTGTTAAGGAGGCAGGATCAGAGGGGTTTTGTCCTGACTAAGAAAGTAGCACCCCGCCCCTTTTAGAGGGAAGTTCATAGCCTTTTGTTTGTGTCATTCTTGTTATTTTTTTTATCTCTTTATTTTTTATAAAAAAAAATTAGGTGGTAGGTCAGCTTTAATATTTCCGATAGATTGTAACTTCCATCAATGTAATTGTCTGCATCACTTCCAATCCCCCATATGTTTTTTCTCTCGCAAATAGATATATATA